AGTCATGCATTCAATGCACGCTTTGTTTACGACTGAAGTAAACAATAGACTTTGTGTCGGGGTTTGGGTTATACTCGCTGTCCGTATATTATGTCTGTTTATTATGTATGCTATTTGTATGGTTAGTATGCGGTTGGGGGACATGTAGACGTAGGTTATTGGTGACGTTATTTTTAGAAGGGTGGCTAATGGTTATAGTTTTGGCGCTGTTTAGTAGTTTTCAAAACTTTTTTTTATTGTAGTTAGCGTTGAATTTGTTATAAATTTATTGATTTTTATAGTTAATTGATTGTACATTTTGTTTAAAACTTTTTATTTTACAATAAATTATTGTTTTACAGACAGGAACCTTAGTTACATATAACACACAAGTTACTTATTCATAATTATATTGCCCTGAACATTAACACTAGCACTCTAACATGGTTCATTAAACAAGTTTAAATTGTAAATCTATAATTTTAAAAGCTTTAAATTCTTGATTTGCATACACATTGCATAAACTATAATTAATTTATAAATTATATCTAAATAATGTCTAAATAATAATCAAATAATGTCTAAACATTAATTGAAATAATGGGATAAAAATGAATCAAAATTGCGATTCTTATGCTAAGAATTATTACTTATTAAAGCTTATTAAATAAAATATTAAGATTTTTTAAAATCACTTTTGTTTGGTTTTGATGACTAAACCGATATAAGTCATGAATAGGAAGACCGCAGTCATGACTAACATAATGATCGGATCGTAGAGTAGGGCTGACTCTTTGAACCCGTTATCCTCGATAACCGCCAGTCCATTGGCATAACACTGACCACTGGACTCGCTGTTGTTTAGGCACGGGATGTAATCGATGTCTTTCCACTGGTTCACCACCAGTGACTCGTATCCGTAGTGTATGAACGATAGGTACTGGATCCACGACAACCACCCGGGCATATTACTGTTAATACAAATTGGTATATCATAGATAGGAATACCGTATGATATAATATAACTGCAATTCTACAGTAGATTGATATGTGAAAAGGGATCTAAAATACCCGGAATTCAAGAATAGGCCACCAAATAGCATCATTGGCATAACCATAGGCGTGAACATAGCCAACGCCCCCATCATGGTCTTGTTAATCGCCGAAATAAAATAACCTATCACATTTGACAATTACTAATTAGGTTTATATGGGAATGCAAAGCTAAAAAGTTTTAAACTATAAACAGTAAAGGTTATTGTTATTAAAGTAGTACTGTATGTGTAATTGTGCAAATAAATTTATATAAATTAAACTTAGTGAACAGGGTTAAGTACCGAAGGTACACGTGCAAAGTGTCAGTACGACCATAATAGCCATACACGTAAAGAATACAGGGAGTTCGGGGTTAAAGCCAACCATGTAANTTTTTCAGTTCAATCTCACGAAATGTATGAACACTAGAATTGGGGGTAAATTTACTTTTAAAGGCATATCCGGTGGAGAAAAGAAAAGACTGGCCTTTGCTTCAGAGGTGTTAACCAATCCGTCGGTTTTGTTTTGGTGAGAAATATCTTTCTTACGATTTGATCTCAAATACTAATCAAATGTATGTATTAGTGATGAGCCGACCAGTGGTTTGGACTCATTTATGGCCCAAAATTTGATTGAATGCCTGAAGACTATGGCATCGGAGGGCCGGACCATCATCTGTACTATACATCAGCCCTCGTCTCAAGTGTTTGCACTCTTTGATAATATATTATTTATGGCTGATGGAAGGGTAGCTTTTATGGGCACAACTCGTATGTAATTAACTTGTATTCAAACTTGTATTCAATATTCAAATTATTTCTAATCCATTGATATATTGAGGCGAAGCCAAGGAGTTCTTCTCATCTCTCGGATATGTAAGACTTGAATGACTTTTTGATTAAAATATAATTGCATTTCATATTCATATCACAAGAATTGTCCCAAAAACTACAATCCCGCCGATTATTACATGAATCAATTGGGTTTGTATTCAAACACTTACACACCTTTTTAAAAATATTAATGCAGGTATATTTTTGTTTAATTTATTAATCATGCATATTTTACTTCATACAGCCATAAGGGCTGCCAATCGAAAGGAATGCAAGGATAAAGTGAATGTAATATTATTTTCATACAATAAAAACTATTCAAAAAAATCATCTATAAATGTATACCAAATGTTAGAAAATATGCGACAATTATCTCGACTTTTCCCACTCGCCTATAATGATCACAAATGGGACTGAAAACAAGTCTGAGGATACTTTTGACGAGCAGACCGATGGAAATGAAGATATTGTGGACAGGGGTCATAGGGCCGGCGTTTGGCGACAAATGTTTACCCTATTCTGGAGGTCATACCTAATACTAATCCGCAATCCATTGCTACTAAAAGTCCGATTCATGCGCTCATTGGTATAATCATATTCTCACTGAATTTACAAAATACCCTGATATATCTATAACTAACTAACTGTACCTGAGCACAGGTATTAGCTCTATTTCTGGGCGCTATCTATTACAAACAATTTCCCATCTCATCTGATGTGGAAAATATAAACGCCGCCCTATTTCTCGTTATTCAGAACACCATGTTTATGAATACATTGTTTTGTATTCAGGTATGAAAATATTAAGAAGTGTAAAATTAATTTATAAATTAAACACACCCAATGGGACAGATATTCTGTATGGAGGCGCCCATATTCCTGCGAGAGTACAAAAATCGTTTGTATGGTGTGTTTCCCTATTTCGTGTCCACCGCTTTCATCCAGGTATTCATTTAAGTATAATCCAAGTATAATCTATTAAATCCAGGCAATCACTGAATTTAATAATCAAACTAGTTACTAAAATTGCTTATTTTTAAAAAACAGTTACCAGTGATTACTTTGACCGGGATTATATTCATTGCTGTTATCTATTACATGGTTGGCTTTAACCCCGAACCCCATGTATTCTTTACGTGTATGGCTATTATGATCGTACTGACACTTTGCACGTGTACCTTCGGTACTTAACCCTGATCACTAAGTTTCATTTATATATTTGCACAATTACACATACTGTACTACTTTAATAACAATAACCTTTACTGTTTATAGTTTAAAACTTTTTAGTTTTGCATTCCCATATAAACCTAATTAGTAATTGTCAAATGTGATAGGTTATTTTATTTCGGCGATTAACAAGACCATGATGGGGGCATTGGCTATGTTCACGCCTATGGTTATGCCAATGATGCTATTTGGTGGCCTATTCTTGAATTCCGGGTATTTTAGATCCCTTTTCACATATCAATCTACTGTAGAATTGCAGTTATATTATATCGTACGGTATTCACACCTATGATATACCAATTTGTATTAACAGTAATATGCCCGGGTGGTTGTCGTGGATCCAGTACCTATCGTTCATACACTACGGATACGAGTCACTGGTGGTGAACCAGTGGAAAGACATCGATTACATC